TATACTGACTCCTTTGGATCCTAGATCTGGAGAATATGGGAAGCTTCCAAGAATGAAGAGTCCTGGAAAGTTTTTAAACTGAAGAAAAACATGATCAGATACACTAAGCCTTTTTATTCCTTGTTGCAAAAAGCTACTAAAGATTTTATGTGTTTCTCCTTAGATGAGAAGTTGTATTGAAGGGAGAGCTCTTTAGTGATGGTCAGTGAATGTGGAACAAATTTCAAACAGTAGTTTGCAACTGGTAAAGATGGGAAATTTAGCATGTGAATTTAGGTAGTTCTTCATTTCCAGGTAAAGAGTCAGGTAACACATAATAGTTGCTACAGTAATATTTAGAATAACAGATTGTCCTACATCTATAAATGTATTTTTGTCACCTGGTGTTATCAGAGAATAGCACATAACACATATGGATTACCAATTTTCAAAATACAACATTAGATAGACCCTGCTCTCCCTTAATCAAAACAATCTCCCCCTCAGTCAGGGCACTCTATCCCTCTGTCTTTAGAAGGTTTTAAGAAATGAAGAATGTGTATAATCCTATTGAAATTGTTCATGCTGAAATATGAATGGGTGATAACTGTCCAACAGAATATTTTACATTCAGAGGAGGGGTTTGTTAAAAGAGTATCTAGTAGGGAAAATTATCCTAATGACAGGGGAGAAGAGACTACTTTGACAAGCAGCAGTTTTTTTCTGGGCCACATTTCTCTAGTATCTGATGTTTTTTTAATCTTTTACTACACCATAGATATGCTAATGTAGTGCAGTATAAATTTTATTCCAAGGAAAAAAATTTTCCACTCTAGGAATCAGATTATCTGTAAGAATTATTATTATCCAGATGTGCAACTTTGAACCAATCATTAGACCTCTGTGGAACTCAGTTTCCTCTACTTTGACATGGAGATGGGGTGGAATAATGATGATGGCTGAGTGGTTTTCTTATCTTTGAAGACTGTTAACCTGACCAGTCACTGGGACAATTTGGCTGATTGGCCTGACCAGGAGAGACGGTGCCTCTTTTGCTCTTCAGGCTTCAAGTGTCTGTGTTCCCCTGGGGCTGGCATGTCAGGTGAAACAAAAGTTTGCAGAGAGGAGTAGACGTTCATACTGACTGTATGAGAGTGTTTATAAAAGTCTAGTCCACCTCCAACATTTTTCTGCACCTGAATGTTTTTCTTTCTTATCTCCTTGTTCATTGTCACTTGAATCGGTAAAAGAACCTCAAGTAAATTGGGTTTTTAGTTGCTAAACTAAGAAGCAGTCAAAATAAATTTTCAGTTAAAATAAATAAGGGAACATCAATCTCCTCTCACTCTTATTCATTAAAGTCTCTGGGCTCTAATTCCTTTGTAAGTGTCTTTTATGTTTTCCAAGAATTCTGCTTAGAAGCAAAGAAGCTTCAGACACTTAACAGCACAATCAGAGGCAGGCATCTATTTCTCAAATGTCATAGTTCTTTCCAGCAGCAGTGACAAAGCACTGCTTTTCAAACTGGGCATCCTCACCCTTGCCTGTCTGCCATAGCAGCGTTCTCCTGTGGTGGAGTGACTTGGAAGTGTGACCTCAATCACAGAGGCCCTGTTACTTGGCCATGAGTCTTATCTGCCAAGGATGTAGCAGACTGCCTTCCCATGGCTCTGCTTGTTAATGGAAATTCACTCACATCCTTTATTGTTTTAATAAGTTAAAACATTAGAAGGATAAGATTTAACCAAAGAGTGGATAAATACAGAAAGAGAACTTGCCAGATGAGACTATAATTCACATACAGAATAAACTGGAAGTATCAAGAAGCCACGGGAAAAAGTTAATGCACTTGGAAAGTGGTTTAAAGGAAAAATAATTTTCAAAATACTAATGATTTGGAAAATGCAAATTTAACAAAATGTGCTTTGAAGATCTTATAGTTTAGAAAGCTTGACTTTCATGACTTTGACAAAGAACAGAATTGGATTCCTACTCACAGTGGTTCATCTTGCCTGTTTTACTGAAGTTAGAGCCACTTACCCTAATATCTTGGGAATCACATGTGGTTCCTTTGATCTAGTGGACCAAACAGGAATGTGAGAGGCAATCTGATCTCTAAACTCTGTTCTGCCACTGGTTTCCATAGTGACCCTGAAAATGTCACTTCTTTGTGGGGGAGACAGAGAGGTGTTTGTGATCTTTATTCCAATAATACTTAGTGGGAACTTTCAGAAATTCACCCAAGATAATTAAAATAAAGAGAAGTGCGAGAAGTGATTGAAACAATCATGAGCATTGTTTATACATTAAATATAGCTAGGTCTCATGGGAACTGGGAATAAAAACTAAAATTCTCTTTCTGAGAGAGAATGTGCAACCTTAACACATTACCTTAAGTATCTTAGCATCAAACTAAAGATCACAGAATTGAGCTGTTTGCAGTGGCACCTGGATTTCAGATTTTTCACCAGTTCAGGAAAAGAAAGAAATTGCCGTACATATTGAATATTACAGGATCCAAATAATACGGCACGTTCAGTCTGTTCCTACCAGTGATAGCAGCAAGGTCAATAAGTGATGACCCCCTTCCTAAGGGAAAGCCATCACCAGAGTATATGAAAATGGGACACTTCATATCTTCCTTTTCTGAGTTTGCATGTTAAGCTATATTACAATTGACTCCTATTAGTAAGGATCCCCTCAACTGATCAAGGACTTACCTGATGTAAGAAAGTGCTGCTTCGAAGAAGAATGCTCAGGAGTTAAGAAGGACTCACATGAGGCTGTTTGTTGCATAGATATATATTTAATATAATGGATGTGGTTGTGATTACAGATACATATTTGGTGCTTTATTTACCAAGAAGCAACAGTCACATAGCAATAAAATATCGAGATACAAAAATCAGAAGAGAAATGTAATTGTTCCAGAATTTAAAACATATAGTATAAATGCTGGGAAATATTTTGCTAAATTGTTCATTTCTACTCCATTCTCTTGACTCTAGCTCCTAAAAATGATTTGCAAGTTGAAGAATTTTTTTAAAAATTTAAAAAACAAAACTTTATTTCCCTCAAAATCTGGATATTTATTATATTACAATAAAAAGAACTTTTGACAAACATGCAGATTACGTGTCTCTTGTACGCAAATCTCTCAGACTTTCCCCTTGTCTTACCTGCTTTGGCCTGTGTATTTTCCTACATAGGAAGTTAAATGCTTTTAATGTATTCATTCTTACATAATTATGGTTAGGTTCAACTATTTCCTCTCACAGAGGGAGAAGGGAAAAGGAGGTATAGGGATGAATGGGGAGTAAAATATCGCAAGTGAAAGAATAAGTAACTTGCAATAAGCTTATTAAATGATATGAATAAGGTTGTTTTATAGCTTTTCCACTAGAAAAATAAGATTATTATTAAACCGTGGACTGAGGATAATACTCCAAAGATTTTGTTTGCTTGTTTTGCTATGAGTTTCCATTTAAAGTCACTGGATGTCTCCTCAGTGGGAAGAGTTGACCTGTTTAGTTCCAGGATGGTAGGCTGATGCTGGGGAAAGTCTTTCTTTGGATATCAATTGCTCTGGCTTACAGGAGGGTGTATTTAGTAGCTGCTACATTGTTGACTAAAGAGTTTTGTGCCCCAGCAGGTGTTAAATGCACATTCATCTAATAAAATAGATTTAGAACACCAGAGAGGCCTAATAATAATTCAGGAAGGATATATCAAAATACACCAAGACTTTATATCCAAAACCTACATAGAGTTCCCTAGCTCCTGGGTTTGGATGCCTGGATGTTAGAAACTGAGTTCTCCTCTCTCTATTTTCTGGCACCTGCAAGGCAAATGGGGAAAGGAGATCTACATTTTTTTTCTCTGTTCAAGTTTCTCTAGGATGTCAGAATGAATTTTCTCACATAGCTGCATTGTGGGTCAAGAAATATTTCCCTGAAAATCTGGAAGGCAGCAGCAAGAAGCAATTTGATTTTCATCCAAGCTGAGCAGCTCTTAAATTCTTCATAGCCAATGGATTAATTTCCTAACACTGGGCACTTACTTCTTTACTGCTTCCCTTCTTGGCTTTCTTTCCCACTTCTCATGATCCATTCTCTCTTACACCTGCTAAATTCCCAGGAAACAGGATAAATGGCCTGCTAGAAGAAATAGTTCAGGAGTAAAAGTCATTTCCCTAAAATATAATTAGCTTTTTAAGTGATTCTAAATCATTAAGGTTGTAATGGGGTAGGTAGTTTGGCAAAGTCCTAGAAAGGAATGCTTATTAGTTTATCAACTGCTTTGTTGATGGATACTTACTATTCTTTGGGAGATAATTAAATTCAGCCTATTGAAATGAATTGTGTGTGGAGAACACATCAGCCAAACAAAATCCATATCTTTGAAGAGGATGAAAATAAAAACCCATTTTTTTCATCAAATTCTCCTTATACATTAGAAATTGAAATCTACTTAGAGTTACTGAAATGCTTCAGTTAATTCTGCCTTTCAAAAGGTGTCCATCTAGGAGAAAGTGTGTGTGTGTATGTTGAGTGTGTGTGTATAATGTATATGTGGGGAGGAGGAGGAGTTAGAGGGGGAGAGAAGCAGTATAGAATACTGGTAACATGAACAACCACTGCTTTAACAAACATGGGACATGGCTTCCTAATTTACATTAGACTTCATAGTCAGTCTCTTTGTCCTGGTGTGATTTAAATCTTAATTTTACCCTAACCACAAACTCTATCAAATCACAACTTAGGTTACAGGCCAGAACCTGGACTAACCATAGGTTTCTCTGGAGAATTGAAAGGCAAATATTCCAGTTTCCATTGACCACAATTTGGTTCCAACACTTTCCTACATCCCAAATCCACTTATGACTGTAGGTCCATTTTTACCAGAGAGGAAAATGTGAGAACCACAGGTCTCTTGTGTGAAGCTTCATACTTTCCCAGGCAATTTACTCAAGGGAAAGTGGAGAGGAGGGGGCAGGAGGGAAAAGGAATGAAAAATAGATGTCATACATTTTTTTCCTTGAAGTAACATCCCACTTTTTCTAATTTCCCAGATTTAAAAGAATGTATTTTGTTTGGGTTACCTTGGGAACTACTACTAACATAGGGTTTTTTTTCTGTTCTTTCATTTTTTTCCCCCTCTCTTTAAGTTTCAGAAAGCTTTCAAAAGCTTCACAAAAAATTTCAGGGCAATTTTAACTTATTTAATTTCTCATTTGAGTCTAGAATACCTGTATTCCTTTTATTACTTTATATGTTAGAAGAATATATATGTGTGTGTATACTGCTTTAACATAAAATTATATAGATATATGTAGAGATAATGTCACCATCTGACTGGAGAGCATTCCTTCTTTCATTCTTTCTGTAGCTTTCACAGAACTGCCCTTGAAGCAGCCTTTTGTGCCCTTTGCCACCTGGGTTTGGCTTATGCAAAGGTGAAGGCCTTTCATATTGTCTACAGACACTTCCAGCCACTCACACAGGGTATACAGTCAGTTTGTGAATACAATCTATTGAAATTTCCTAACAGCAACCACCTGGGTGAGATCTTTGATATCTCATTAATTCTCTGGACATTTTCAAACATATGGATATTTTTAAAGATGTGGATACAATATTTAAATTTTTAATGAAATTATTTTTCTTAAAAATATTTGGCATTCAGAAAACAACTCACCTAGATTCTTTGGTTCTTAACATTTCTAGCTGCTTGAGAAAAATCAAGGTCTGACACTTTTTCTACTGATTTGAAGCAGAGTCAACAGACGCTGAGGAGGACTGCCAGAACACACCCTGTCATTGTTTATCTGAGTGTCCTGTCAATCCTACACAATGCCTACAGTGAGAACTTCTTCATGCTCACAATGTTGATCCCTCATAGCTGTGGAATGATTGATGAAAAAGTTTCTCTAAAGTGGACAATACTAACAAATTGATAAACATAAATGAATCCCTTGTAGCTAAATCACTTATAACTGTTGGCAGTAGAGTTCAACTCATTTTGAGAATGTGAAGTGTCAAGAATTCAGACAGATTATCCTTTGAAATCACAAAAAAAACCAACACACACAGCCAGTGTGTACCTGAAAAATGCAATAATATACTTGCTTCACTCTCAATATTCCTAAGCTATAACTGTATAAATGAGCTACACAGATGGCAGATGGGGAGTGTGTAAATTTAAAGGGAAACAAAAGGAGGAAATACAAAACTAAACAATGTAATCTTCTACTTAAACATTTCAGAATTTTATTAATCCTTAACAAAACACCTTCTTTCATATGAATCAAATCAGTTTCCTCACCTTGATTACCCTCATACATAGTTCAGTTTGCTTCTATTTATTACTAAATTATGTGAATCCTTACTTAATCAAATCTGTGAAAGATGAGAAAAAGAGTCTCACAAGACTTATAACAATCAAATACAGAATTGAAAACTTAAACCTACGAAAGAGTACCATGGCCTATCAATAACTGTGTGAGGCATGTTGGGAGTATAGATCTGAACTTCTGACTATGATTACAACTTACTAATGCAGGATGCAAAATAGTGAAGGAAGATTGGAGTTCCTATTTTGCAAAATACTGGATAGTTTAAATCTTGGCCTCACTTAGAAAGCCTGCACATGTAGTCACACTATTTTTTCCAAAGACAATGTGGTGTTTCGAAGACAATCATCATTTGTTAAATAAATAGATGGCATTGTAGGATAATTAACCACAATTAAGTTTGATAACATTTTCCCTTTTTAGTGTATTGTCCTCTTGATATTAAGATGGTAGATTACTCTAATGCATGGCAACAGGTTTATTTTATGAGATTGGAGTTAGAAATTTTGGGATTAATTGTACACTCAGTAAGATTTTAAATAATTTGAAAATTAAATCTTGGCATACATCTCAGGGACATAGATAGGTTTATAAAATAATCCATTCTTAATCTCAGGTCATTGATTTAAAACAGAAATGTGCATTTGCTTCAAAACATCAAATGGTTGCTGCCTCATGAAAATCTTACCACCTTTTACAAATTCAGAAATAGAGGGGCAATGTCCCTGGTTCACAATTAAAAAATAAATGGTATCAATTAAGTTTCCTTGAAATTGATCTTTCATGTCCATACTCTTTCTCGCACTAGTTTAGGTGGCAATCTATTTTCTAAACCCATATTTGATGTTATCATATTCTTGTCTTAGATAGCTTTGTGTTAGGCAGGATTTTTTGATGACTCTAATTGAGGCTGACAGAAACTAGGTAGACCTTAATAGAATAGGGCAGGAAGAAGAAATGGAAGGGAAGGCCATTGAACAATAGAACCACATCCAAAATAATGTTGACCAACAAATAAGCAACACTTTCTGGGACTTCCCTGTTTGGGTAGCTTTGAGCAAAGCTGCTGTGGTAAGATATGTAGGTTATTTGAAAATTCAGTGTTATTGTGGAGGACATAACTCACAAAGTGATTTTCATAGCCTGGCCAAATTACTACTTGATTAACTCCTGATAAAACTCAGAGCGCACAAAGCGAGGAAGAGAATCCTTCTCCATCAGGGCATGGATTCTTTTCTGGGCCACATCAAAGCTGCTCAGAGAAGGCTCCACCAAGTTCTTCATTGTGATGTCCTTAGTGAAGTGGTCAATATTCACCTGCAGACCAGGAAATGGGGACACTGTGTCAGCCCAGGTTGTAGGAATTGATGAGGGGTAGAGAAGGGGGTTGAATTTCTTACCAATAGATACAAGATAGGCCCAGCGTGGTGGTGCACACCTGTAGTCCTAACACTTGAGAGAATGAGGCAAGAGGATTATGAGTCCGAGGTCAGCCTGTACTATATTATGAGATTCTATCTCAAAAAAAACAAACAAACCAAAACCAAGGTAAGAAGAAAGTCACAAAAAGTGAAGAATCCCACTGCTGTGTTATAGGCAATGGGGTAAGGCAATTGATGTTCCAATAAGTGCATGACATGATTCAGATCCAACCAATGTTAGACACCCACCAGGTGTTAAGCCCTCCACCAGTAGCCAACATATACATATCTTATATCTTATTACTCTAACTACAGCCCTAACAATGACTGCTTACATTTGTAGAAAAATAAACACACACACACACGCGCACACACACACACACACACACACACAGAGAGAGAGAGAGAGAGAGAGAGAGAGAGAGAGGAGAGCAAAG